CGTCCTGTATATGGGGCGCCTCCTCCTCCTCCTGAGCCCCAATAACAGAGATTTGTCTCTATGGGTACAGCAAACAAAATAATTATGTATTGCAAAAATGAGGTGGGTGTATGGGTTATAAAATTATTATACCGTAATGGTATTGCTTATAAGGCGCCGTACAGTACGCCTACTGCGGACAGAGTCGGCCCTAACAGTGACCGCCGATTGTTGTGATTTAGTATCCGTTTCGTTACACATCGTGTGTACACTCGAGCCCTCGCTTTCGGCCACCACTGCGTCCGCGTTCTCGTCGTCGTCGTCGTCGCCGTCAAAGTTTGCCATAAAGTCTAACCCTTTGGGCAACAGTTCGTCAAACATTCCCAAACCTAAACACTTTCCGTCGTCTAACACAAGGATTTTCGTAGCCTTTCGTATGAATTGGATTTGATGTGTGACTAGTATTCGGATTTTGGGTCCCAAGTAGTTAACTATACACCTGATAGAGTGTACATACAATACAGTAGATGATTAGCACAATAATTATTATAATTAAAATACTATGTGAATAAAGTGAGAAATTTTACTTTTTGAAGTTATATAATAGCCTAGTGACGTACGTGACCTTCACCACAGCAATATGATTGGCTGTTAGACTTGTGTGTGAGTTGAGTAGTGTCTAACAGCCAATCATATTGCTGTAGTGTACGTCACGTACGTCACTAGACTATTATATAACTTCAAAAAGTAAAAATTCTCACTATAGCAATGTATGAAAATATAATCTGATTACATTGTAAAGATAATCTAATTGTATCTCAATCGCCCATTGATTCCATAATATGGAGTTTTATATTAATGATTACTATAACACATTTCATGAATAATGTTTGTGTTACAGTTTGTTTTACATATATTTTACAATTAATGCAGTATTCATTACAGCTAACATTATTGAGAATTATTAATGTAAATACTATATGTGTTTTACACTTATCATTGATTACTTTCAAATACAATAATTTTTAATCAAACTTTTGCATATTTTGCATAACATTAAAATTAAATTATTGAGAAAAATGTATTCACAAATTTTATGTTACAGTTGGTTTACTACATTTTTTTGTATTAACTGTGTAATTGTATTGTATGCAACGTGACCACCTGTGCTCTATTTCAGAGAACAGTTCTCTATTTGGACCTGTATTTGGACAAAATAGATAACTGTTCTCTATTTTAAATTTAAAATAAATCATAGGAATGTTATTAAATTTATTAAATATTTGTTTATCAATACAGTAATAAACTTTTTAAAGGAATTGATACTTTCTTGATTAATAATAGCCATTTTTATACACCTAACACAATAAATTTTACTTCAACATTGGTATTAAATAATCTCGATTTTTAAATTTAGAAGAAAATTTAACGTAAAATATGTGTTCTCTATTTTAAAGAAAATTTGGTCAAATGTTCTCTATTTTTAAACCTAGACGTGGTCACGCTGATTGTATGTGTAGTTTATTGTTAATGTGAGATTTTTAAATATGCCACATGGTATGGTATGCTTACGGCTTAAGTCTCTGATTATTATACATAATAAAGTATGCAAAATATTTCACATACAGTATGTACATTGAAAACTTGATACAATAAAATAAGTAATTAACAGCACAGAAGTCCATCCACTAATAATAACATTAAATTATGAGGTACAATAAATTTTTCTTTTTACAACTTTATTACAGTTCTCTTATATTTTCATAGTTTTCAGTTAAAACTTGGTAAATAGTTGGAACACGTAAATCATAATCAAGATGACTTACTGTTCAAATATATGTTCGGCAACGGCCGCGTCCACAGCCGATAACGGGTCGTCCATAAGGCATATGTCGGCGTTTTTGTACAGAGATCTGTGCCAAAGGTATTGCGTATTATAAGTCTACTGTACTTTTAATTAACAATAGTTATTTTAAAAATAAATTAATTTCGCACACCTTGCTAACGTTATTCTGGCCTTTTGACCACCACTGAGTGAAACACCCTTTTCGCCCACTAGTGTCCGATCGCCGAACGGGAATATCTTTAAGTCCCGCTCGAGTGCCGCCACTCGTACCACATCTTTATACCGGCGTTCGTCGTATTCCCGGCCAAACAATATGTTAT